AGTGGGAGTTTAGAGAGATACTAGTTAAAGGATACAAAGTTAGATAAGAGAAATAAATTCAAGAGACGTATGGTACAACATGGTGACTATTTTTAATAACTATATATTGTACTTTTAAAAATTACTAAGACAGTTTTTAAGTTCTCAACATAAAGGGACAGGGATTTTGCTCAGCGGTGTAAGCACCTGCCTGCCAATTGTGAGGTTGTAAATTCAATCCCTGGTATCAAAAAAAATGTATGTGAAGTAATTAGTGTGATGATCATCTAGATTCAGCCATTCTAAAATGTATACACATTCAAAATATCTTGTACATAAAAGATATGCAACTCTTATCTTCACACTTAAAATAATTATTAGTAATTAGTAATAATTAGTTACAATGTTTTAAAAATGCACATGGGGTGCTTGTTTGAAAATGAATGATTTCTATGATTTTATCATTTGATCTACTGTTGGTACTGTTTGCCTCACTACACAGAAACTTCCATTTCATATAAACTGTGACATTTACTCCAACATAAGCAAAATAAACCACTATATGAAGAGAGAGATTAGTAAAAATTGGGATGAGTTCCTGCTTGTCTAGTCCTTAAAGAATGACAGATAATCTCAGATGAAGATCAAGTGGAAAGATTAGTCTGGTTTGAGATAGTAGTTCTGGTAAAAGTGTTTAGGGGCTGCAAAGAACCTGTTTAAGGACTGATAGGAGATCATGTGTGGTGAAAGTTGTTGTGTACAAGAAGGTAATGGCAAGGATGATGGAAATAAGGTATTTAATCTGAGGTTTCCAAAAGACTCTAAGGCATGAATATATGTCAAAGTATTTTATTGCACAGATCAATAGAAAAGTGGGACTAAAAATTAAAGGAAGTTAACAAAGGTACAAAATCAGGCAAAATTATAAGAATGCAACTTTCAGCCAGTTCCATGAGGACCTTTGGAGATAAAACAGATCATAATCTCAGCTGTCCCAAGGAGAAGTGTTATGGTTTGTCTCTAAAATCTCCTCAAAGGTTCATGAGGTCATAGGTGGGTCTTTTATCAGAGGTAGCTGAATCTAGAGTGTGTGATAGTGAGACTAAGGGTGTGTGATTACTAAATCTGTCCACTGATTGGTTTGGCACTGCCCTAATTCCAGAGGTCTAGGCAGAGTATAAAAGGGGCAGAAAAGAAGGTGCTCAGGTCCTTTCATCGCTTTGTTACCTTCTGCTTGCCATGGACATTTTTTCCTCTGTGATGCCTATCTACCATGACAAATTGCCTCAGAGCCAGCAGATTATGGACTGAAATCTCTACAAACTGTGATCTAAATAAACCTTTTCTCTTTAAACTGTCGGTGTCAGGTGTTTTGTCTCAGCATCAAGAAAAGCAGCAAAGTGATTATGCTCCTTTCCCACCAGTCATTGATAAAAGGCTCTACTCTCAGTTTATGCAAACTAAAATTCTGAGGCTGTTTTGGCTTTCCATACCCAGAGACCTCCAGTGGCCTGAGGCCTCCCTCCTACATGAGGCCTCCCTCCTACATAGACTGGCAGGTGTTGACCATAAGTTTAAAAGCCATGGACAGCTGCATTTGACTGAAAATGGGGATGTGAATAGAGTGCAGATAACCTGGCCTGCATCAAAAGGCTGGGCAATATCAGGAGAGCACTGTGTGCCAATGTGAGAGCTAGCATTCATTCAAACCATATTTGAAAGCAATAGAGAACTTTTGAGACTATATGAGCAGGGATGTGAAATAATCAGATGCCATTCACTATCTTCTCCTTCCAGAAAGTAGAGACAGATCTACTTCCTATTAGATCAAGAAACTGACAATTCCCAATGCTTTTACAGGTGGGGTGATAAGTTACAGGTAAGAGTATACCTAACATCAAGTACAGAGAGAGGCTTTTAGCTAGGCAATAATTCCACAGGAGCTTCCATTTAGTCTCTGCTTAAAGGCAGAATAAGAGAATATTTCCTTGGAAAACCACTTCACGCTTACTGTTGATTTTCAGAGGTCCTTGTTTTTATAATAGAAGCTCATGGGAAAGCTTGAAAGGCAATTCTTAGCGACAAACAGTTCTTGTCTAAGTATCTAATCTCCCTTTCAGACAGATAATGAGTTATGCCTAATAAAAAGTCTTGTGTCATACAATAAAATGGAAGTTATACTGTGAAACTACTTTACAGTACTCAAGTTTGACATCTTGAAATTGCTTTTACATCTTGAGTTCTTTCTGTGTCTGTACTAGCTTCCTCACTGGCTTCTGCTCTAAGACCTAACATAAACAAGGATAAACGCTGAGGGTCTTTCTATAATACAGAGTCAATAAGCAATAAGATAGAACGTCATTGTGCCATCTCTAATACAAAAAGATGTCTGTCTTTCTCAGTGTTTAAGGACTTTTAATTCTCTGCCTTTATTACTGGGAAAATCAGTCCCTGTATCTTCCACTTTGCCTTCTCAGCTGGATAATCTACCAGAAACATTAAGTCTCTAGGGCTACTCTATTACATTTGCAGCTGATGTAGTGCCTAGTGCCCTGAAATTACTGAGAGAAGACTCAGAATGAAGTGACACTTCACATTAACTGGGTGATAATTAGCCACTGAAAGCTCAGATGCTATTGTTTGGATCTGGAATGTCTCCCAAAGGCCCACATGTTGAAGGCTGGTTGGCAGTGTATGGTGCTATCAGGAAGTTGAGGAACTTTTAAGAAGTTGAACCCGGTAGGAACAAGTTAGACCACTGAGAGCATACTCTTGGAGGGTATACGTTTTCCTCTACCATCTGCTTATGTAATAGTGCATTGGCTTGCCAAAAGTCTGAGGCAACAGGGCCAAATGACCATGGACTGAAACTGTGAACTAAAATGAAGCTTTCTTCTTTTTAAGTTGTCTCAGGTATTTTGTCACAGTGAAAGAAAGCTCATTAACACATCAGCTCAGCACACATTGCATGCCATGACACCTGTCTCAGTTTTGTATGATATGTGAGCAAGTAAAAGTCTGAGTCTTTAGCCTTTCCTCTACATTAGAAGAAACTTGGCAGAGAATGATCATGTGAATTAGGGATACTAACTTCTGTTGAGTTCTCCAGTATGCATTCATCAGACTCTGAGGTGGAGATTTTTATGCAAGTGATTTGTTAAGGAAATGCTAACATAGAGATCAAAGTGGTGGAGAAAGTAGGGCAGATATGATTGCAATCTTGTACAATGTGGTTTGGAAGGTAGCTTGAGGTTAGTGTGGCAGGGATTATGTGGAGGATACGTAATGCTCTAGAATTTTTCTCCAGCTCAGTAAGGAAAGTGGGCTTTCATATTGCCTTCACTAAAGTTTGCCTCATGGAAGTAGTACCAAAATTCCCAATAACTTCTATTTATTTGCCCTGGTGGAATGAAAGCCACAATAGCCTAAGGCCAGACCTTAAAAGAGATCTTCAGGTATAGGTGGGTGAAACAAACCACCTAAAATGGTTAGGAATGTGCGGGGATCTGACTGAGCATGGATAGTGTTCCAAAGACAGTATACACCATCACAACTGTTAACTTCAGCAGGCTCATGGAGACCCAGAGATGCATCCTCTTTATAATAAAAGAGGAGCCCCCACTGGCAATGTGGAAGTAATTATTCTGGTATCTAAGCATGAAAGATGCTTGAGAATGACCTTAAAGGGCTTAAATATCATCCCAGTGAAGCCTCCTAATCATTTCCAGAAAGATAACTGGAAGGATGCTTCTTTTCCCTCATAAATTGATTTCCAAAGAGCCCCTATGTTCTTTAATATTAACTTCATGACAGATGTGAGGATGAGAACCTTTTAGCTACTGTAACCATTTATAGCCTAAAAGCAGTGTGCCCAGGGCTAGTGAGACCTAGTTTCCTAGAATATTTGGAAACTGAATATGAAGACAATAGAAGAGAGCCAACTGACTCCAAGGCATTCATAAGATGTGGACACCTGGATCAAGCTATGCTTTATTACCACTAGCCAATATTCTCCCCTTGAGTTTTGAACAGTAGGAGTTGAAGTTTCTGTCTTACTATAATAAGGGACTCCTAAATAATACGTAGTATTTATTGAGGGCTTACAATGTGCCTGTTAGAATAGGCACAGCCCTACATAATATGCTTATTCAAGCTTCACAGCAGTCCTAGGAAGCTGTATCTATGTACCACAAGTGAAAAATGATCAGGAAGTTAAGCAACATGAGTTGTCGTGAAGCCAGGAATAAACCAAATGTAAGTCTGATAAGAGTCCACCATCTTTACTGTAATATTTTTTTGCCTCCCTGCATATAAAGAACAAATTTTGGTAGTATAAATGTGATTTTTTTTCATTTTCCTTTCAACCAAAAGATTGCTGAAAATCTAGAAAGATGCTAGTTGCATGCAGTAAATCCAATGCACTGATGGTATAGATTAAAACATGCTATATACTACACTGGAATCTATTTTATAGAATCGACTCTAAGGTTTTTGTTTTGTTTTGTTTTCTTACTATAACTTAAGGCCTGTGCTATGAATCCCAAAAGCAGGAATGAGGAATATAGGAAATCAGATATTGTGGCCACTGATCACTCTCTCCTGTGAGCCAAAGCAATATTATTCCTGCTTATGATCCAAATTGTAGATAATGAGAAACAGAGACTGTTTTGAAGATGTTCGTGCCTTTAAGATTTTTGCCTATATACAAATGAAGACATTGTCATTCTAATAGGATCATGTATGTGGCTCTTTTGATTTTCCATGGAGAGCTTAAATTGATAAATATATTTTCAGTAATAAAATTAATAATACAAATGATTGTTATACAGACAACATATTTTCACAAAGTTTCCAAAACAGTGGATTTACATTTATTGCAATATTCCAAAATTTAGCCACTGATTTTTGTAGACTATCACTTGATCTTTGGAAGCCTTCAGAATATTCAGGCACGTGACATCAATTTTGCTCGAACTTTCCTGAATGCTTAACTGTTTGACTAATCCAGAAGTATGTCCTACCTTGGGCTGAAGAACAAACCATTCATCACATGGATTTTCGAAGTTCCATGAGTCAAAAGGAATCTCCACTTCTCCGAGGAAGCTGTTACGTCCAAACCGATCATAGTGCCAGACTGAGAGCTGCAGGGTTCTAGTTTCCAGTTGGGTGTGGCTGATGGTATACTGCAAACGAAGTGCACAACATTACATTCCATAAGGAAGACTTTATCCAGCTCCAGAACAAATTGAAATTTACTGCCACCATCTTTCAGATCAGACATCAGCAATATAAACAAAACAAACACAAAGAAAGCAGTTTGCTGTTGCTATAATGGAGTTTCTGCCTCATAAACCAATTTTATGCCAGAAGTAGTGATAAAATATATATAAACATATTATTCAGGAGGGGTATAAATTCTAGATAAGACATAAAAAGTGTCAGGTGAAGAAGCCTTTCCTCTTCCTAGCTTTACTTTCTTTATATTGGCCTATTTATTTATTTTTCACATGACTTCGTAGCTCAAAGTTAAATGTATCAATTCTCCAAATTACATCTTTTTTTATAATACTCCCTGAAGCCTCAAAATTATTGACAATGGCAAAATTGTGGACACTAAACTTCATAAAACCTGCAGTGATGACAAGACACGTGCACAGACGGAGCAAAAAGAGGTTATTACTGGCTACTTTTTTCCCAGAAGACTGTTACCCAGGGTCACAGCCTACATGCCTTCCATCTTTCTGCTTGTTCTATGCAAATACCATCTGAGTCATATTTCAGGTTGACCTCTGCTCTTGGATTTGTGTGTGTTCCTATCGTTTTTGTTTTATCATGATTAGTCTTGGCTCCTTGCTTCCTGAGTTTATCCAATCACCATATTTATCTCTTCTGCTTGGGAATCATCTTGTTACTTATCCTATTATGGTCACTAGATTCATCCTCTGCCTTTATTTATTCATTTTGAGTTTGATATATCTTGATACTGGTTTATGTTTTCACAGTGTCTTTGCTGAACTACACAAGCTCGTGGCTTCTGTCATCATTAATTTTCTCATCACCTTAGGCATAAGTGCATCAATTTCCTAGAATGGGCAATAGTTTCTACATTTCATTCTCCCTGGTTGTTTCTTTTTTTTTTTTTTTTTTTTTTTTTTTTGTCTTTTTCCTTTTTACCGGTACCGGGGATCGAACTCACGACTGCCTGCTTGCAAGGCAGGCACTTATGCCGCTGAGCTAAATCCCCAGCCCCTCCCTGGTTGTTTCTTACTAGAAGTCCAAGGCATGATTGGTCCAAGGTGAGAGAAGGAATTGTAACATAAAAGCCCATTAGAAGTAGAAATTTCTTTAGGATTAAACACTGGGTCATATTTTATCTCAGCCACTTTCTTTGAGATTTATCAAATCTGATCCTGCATCTCCACTCTTCATTAACTCATCTCTAAATTTAGCAGAATTCTAAATCCTAACAAGAAATAGCACATATTCATGCTGTATTAGCATAATAATGATTGCAAACAAAGTGACCTATTTATTAGATTTGCCTAAAATTCTGACAAACTCCATTTAAAGGAATCTTTAAAAAGCATTTTTCCTAAGGGTGAAACATGCTTTATAACAAAGATTTAACAGTTCCTATGTTATTTTGCTGGATCATCTCTACTTATGGTGAAAATTGAGCAGCAGCAGCAGACAAATAATAAAGTGTTTTACTTTTTTTTTTTTTTCTGTTCGAAAAACTACTAGAAAGGCCAATTTTCTAAAACATATATGTGTCTAAACACACAACTAAAAGCTTCATTATAGTTACTTTTAATGGTTCTGACCAATATGAAAACATGTTGCTATAAGAGTATTTATTTACCTTTAGTATTTCATTGAATTCCGGATTGGTGCCTGTTCTAATTTTGGTCTTGCGTTTATTGTTTCGAGACTTGTCAGGAAGAAGGTATGACTTGACATAACTGCAGATAATAAAGGATGGAAACAATTATTTGGAAATATCTTCTTTTCAAGAAATGCTTAAGAAGTTCTGTGATTTAAGCTGAAAGCATGAGACACAGCCAAGGAAGATAGAGTCTATATAAGGTGTTTCATAGCAGAGAAGCAGTTTAGAAGAATGGTAAAGAATGAAGGATCTGGAATGAAGCCAACTGGTTTTGATCATCCCATGCCTCACTGGTTCTGATGAAAAACCTAAGAATTTAACTTTCTTGTGCTTCAGTTTCCACTATGGTAAAACTGGGAACATATAAGAAGTTGATGTATTGGGGCTGGGGATTTAGCTCAGCGGCATAAGAACCTGCCTTGCAAGCAGGCAGTCTCATGAGTTCGATCCCGGGCACTGATAAAAAAAAAAAAAAAAAAAAGAAGAAGAAGAAGAAGAAGAAGAAGAAGAAGAAGAAGAAGAAGAAGAAGAAGAAGAAGAAGAAGAAGAAGTTGATGTATTGTATTCAGTATATGTAATCAGTTATAATTATCAATGGTTTCATAAATTTGTTCTTTTCCTAATCCCACTTTCTTGTGTCAGCCAATGGAGTCAATGGAACTGAAAGACAATAGTGAAAAAGAAGTGGAAAATGACAAGCTGAAGTCAGAGTAGAAATTTGAGCCAACAACTTGGCTTGCGTTATCTTAGGAATTTATTGGAGATTAAAGCACAGAGGATACTACTAGGTTTTTAGAGCACATCTGCTAGAGTTTTAGATGGTCCCTTTCCATGCTAGTCAAAATAAGTACATTGTTCCTGTGGTCCTCTGAAATTTAGCTGAGGAGCCAGGTAGACTATCCTGTAGTCAGACTCCATTCATTTGTCTATCTTAGAATACTTGAAACCAGCTTTGCTGAGTTTTTTATTGTACCTATGTTACTGATTGTACAGAAAAGAGTTAACATGGTAGGCCTGAGACTGTCATTTTTAGAAGGTCTTACTTACAATTTTGGCTCTTAAGTGGTGGCTGGGAACTTTGAGTTTGGAAGGGTTTCTCACTGTTCTTAGAATTGGTAAAAATGCTTGCTGAGCCCAAACTGTTTGCACAAACAGTGTAGCTCATGCTGAACATTCTTTTTGTTTCTAGGAACCTGGAAATTTGGTATGTGACCAGCTAAGTCTCTTGCAAGCTTTCCTAGTGGAAAATGTTTTACAAGAATTAAGTGCAAAAAAAATAAGAATTAAGTGCATCATGTGTGATTTATTGGAGGAAGACGCTTGGAAGCTTAAGTCTTGTGTCTTCATGACCTCACTCTGTGTCTTTTCTCTTTATCGTCTATAAGTATATGTAGAATCATATGGGTGCTTCCAGTGCATCACTGTACCTGATAGTTTTTGCGGGGACTCCTGGTACATCTTTAAATCTAGCTGCCCTCCAAAACATGGTTCATATCTGTTCTCCCAGGCTGATCCCTAGAATCTTGACATCCTAATTGCTTGCTCTTCTGTATGGTTCAACTGGGTAACAGCTTGGTAATTTTCTCTGGAAGATTTCCCAGAACAAAAATCAACAAGATATTCTTGTACATTCCAAGTATGTCAGCTTCTATATCAAAGAGCAGCTAAATGTAAACTACACATTCATCATTCCTGAATCACGTTGAGTACTAACGTCTTAAAAATTGGGTAACCAAGGACATAGCCATTATTTCCATACTTTAAAGAATATGTCAACATGTGATATAGGCAAAAAGTGACAATGCTCTGAAAATGCTCTGAATGGAGAGGAAAATTCAGGTTCTTCTGGAAAAGAAACATACAGGCAAAGAACGCAGTACTTGAAATAGTCTGAGGAGCATGCTATGTGCTTACGCATCTGTCCTCTGTTTCTTCTCATCTCCTATGGCCAGGTTCCTGCAATTCTTGACAAAAATGTTGAGCCCACCAGTTTTGTAGCAGTAGCTGATGTGGAGAAGGATTTCACCACTGACCTTCACATTGCCATAGTCTCCTGTTTCACTGTAAACACTCATCATGCTGTTAAGGCTGGTCTAGAATAAACGAGACGAAAGAAAGCACCAGGTATTATTCCAAGATCGCTTCACAGAACCCACCCTCAATTACAATTCTTGCTCTTTATGATAAACAAGGAAGTCTATAATCAAAGGAGAAAGCCAGTCACTTGTTTTCCTGCTATACCAAATTTCAGTCCAAGAAAAGAAAACAGACCTAGTGCCCTTAGTGAGGAAAGGAGGACACTTGCTGGGTGGGCAGGTAGTACCTTTTTAAGTTAGTGAAACTTATTTATTCATTTCTTCCAATAAGTACATGGTGTCTGAAGAATTTTTAATACTATTTCTCTTCTATATCCTTGCAACCTTCTATTTTTTTTATTATAGATTCAAATTCAATCAACTTCAAAGACTAGAATGCATTGATTAGGACAAAGAAAAGCTTATCTCATATGCTATGATAGCAAGAGCTTTACAGCTTCTTTCTCTGACACCCACAGGGTGCATCCCATCAAACTTTGGGAAGCCATAAATGCAGCTTTAGTAAAAACATGCAAGAAGAACGTCACATAACCACAGCTTCTGTGATTCCTCAACTGAATCTGGCGTGGTTATACAGATAGTTTGTACAGTTATACGGGTAGTGTAAGGGCATCACTTGTAATTCTTCACAAAATAGCATCTCACAAAATATAACACTAAAAAATAAAACTACACCATAACAAAATAATAAAAGTTTCTGAAAATCCAAATCTACTAGACTGAATGAAGCTTTTAATGAGACACATGATATGAGACATATTTTTAATTAAATGTAATAAAATTGTCCTTTAACATCAGAAGCAAAAACTGTATCTTGGTAATATGATTGTAACAAAACCAGTGATATTCATGAAGACCATGTAAGGCTTTTAGTGAGTAATCCAAGAATTTTATAACCTTTATGTGAACACTGAGAAACAGGGACTAAAGTGAGCACAAAAGGACATTAGATTTCATTTTCACACACACACACATACACAAACTTTCATATATGTATAGTTTTTAGTTTAACTTTCTTTTTTTTTGGTACCACAGACTGAACTTATGGCCTCATGCTTGCCAGGAAGGTGATTGTGCTGCTGAGCTAAATCCCTAGCCCCTAATTTAACTTTTTTTTGGCAAAAGTTGTTATGTTATTCCAACTGTTCACCCTAGAGACTGTTCAAAGAACAGGAGGTGGGTGATACAGATCATGTTACTTTTAATCTTACGTTAAGGACAAGAGCAAACCAAGAACTCCAAAATTATTTGGAAAATACAACTTAAAGATAGCCCATGGCAAGCTAATGTGTCTTTCTTATTGCTACTGCAAAGCAAAGCTTTGCAAAGTATACATGCTTAGCAAATTGGTGGCTTTCAAGTAGTGCTTTTCAAATGTTAATGTATATATATCAACTGGGGATTTTTGTAATCTGAAGATTCTGATTCAGATTCATTTTAGGACGAGGTCTGAGATAATATTTTTCCAACAAACATTTAATTCTCACTATCCTAACAGTGAATTCCAGTATCCTAGAACACCACAACAAGCTCATGAGAGCAACATAAAATATTTTAAATTTTAAAGGAAAATACAGCAACATTTATTAGATACCATGCACATACTAATTAGTAGTTCTCAGTAACACCACTAAAATCACATTTTTTTGTGAACAAATTTGTGCCTGTGTAAAGGTAAGTGTTTGGCAGTTTCTTCAGCAACAACAACAAACAAAAACAGAATACGGTGATGTCTAATCATATTCCAAGATTTGAAAACCTGTGTAGTGTTCAACAGACACAACAGACACAGTAATGAAGGCTACTTAAGAGTGGAATAAAATTTAATTTTTATTTTAATTCACCTCTGTTATCTTTTGAGTAGCTATAAAGTTATTAGGACACAATAGCTTATTAAGTAAGCTCTTTGGACATAATGATGTAATAAATGGACTAGTCAGTAATTATTTTTGGCCTAGGAGTACCATTAATTACTGAGACTTTAGGCCAGTGAATCTTTTAGAGTTTTTAATTATACAAACACCTGCTGCAACATGCGTACCATAGGTTCACCACCACTGCTCAAAGGAGTCTATGAACAGAGAAAATTTTGAAGTCTTTATGCGAGGTTATGCAATATTGTTGGTCCCTGGACCATGCTTTGATTATAAAGGATTTCAAAAATAAGCTTTAATTCTCTTATGATACACAGGAGAAAACTGGTTCATACACACTGTTGGCAATATCAAGTTAAAGGGAAATTTCGAGTTTCTAGTCAGAGAGCCTCCCAAATTCACCTCACAATATCCTATGATTTCACCACATGTCACCAAATCATCAGAGTGTCCTTTGTAAACAGACTCTAAAGGATAGATTATTTAAGAATTTCAGAACAAATGCTGAGGCTTGGGAGAATTTAAGGCAGTTTTAGCAATTTTACTACCAACAAAACTTAATGCTTTTAACCAAGCCAAAGCTGTAACATAAAATATAGTTGTTTACTTCAAAGATCTTGGTAAACAATTTTCAATAGTGTGTCATTTGATTCATCTTCTCAGCTCAGGTTCTAATGTTTAATGAATTGAAGTGCTTGAGTTCAGATAAACTCTTCAGTCTTTTAAAAGAACCTGTAGTCCACAGTATACAAGTCAAAAAAGTGGTGGAGGAATTACCCACTCAATCAAATTTACCAAACCATGAAATATGTAAAGCATGATAACAAAGAAGGAAAATGCAGAATTCAAAACTCACAGTGTCTGAATCAGCATCAGGCACATTTAGGTAGGTCCACTTCCTGTCAGAGCCTGCTTGAGAATTCTTTAAGGAAGTTATCCAAAGATCAAAAGAAAAAGTTATTAGAGCAATAGAAATCAGAAAAGCAAAGAAAAAGACTTGAGGGTGCTTGAATATATGTAAGAACATAGGAGTTTTGCCATGGTTTAGATCAGACTGTGCCCCAAAGATCTCATGTTTCATAGGTGCAGTTTGTGGAAAATGATTCAATAATGGTGATGCTATAGCTGACTTTCTGTGAAGAGGTGAGGTCTAGTTAGAACCTGGTCACTGAGGTCATGATCTGGAAGGGTATAGCTCTCTCTCCACCTCTTCCCTTTCCGGGCTGCTTCTCTGGTGCCTTGGTAGAAGCACCTCAGAAGACCAGAATGCTGAAAAATTTCAGAAGGTAAACACCTGGCTCAAGAGGTTTCTGTTGAGAATAAGGACTCTATTTGGAGTTGGACTCAAAACCTTATGTATTATGCTCTGGCAGAAAATTTCTCTACATTTGCTTATGCCCTGAGGATCTAAAAAAGACTGAGATTAAGTGGAGTACAATAATTAATCTGGTGGAGGAAATTTTAAGGAAGCCCAATGGGAAGGTCCTGGAATGGGTCCTGCTGGTAGCTTTTAGATATAACTAACATGAGAAGCAAGACCAAAAAGCAGAAATAAAATAATTTGAAAAATATTGCTGGTGGTCATAAAGGAAGGTCCTATAAAATTGTGGTGCATAATATTAGGGACTGCAAGAATTTGGCTCAGTATAGCTTGTTTATTGGAAATATTATCATTAAAAAGAAGCCAAATGCTTTGCATCATGACAGTTCCCTTGAGAGCATTCCAAGAATCAGCAAGACTTTGTCTTTCACAGGCTCAAAGGTACAAAGGTGAAGGACTTCGTTCTCACTGCTCACACATACTTTACCCACGATCTGTTTTATAGTTCCTAGCTGTACAGGCATTCAGACATTTCTGCAGCCGTGATCCAAGTGGGCCTGATCTGATAGTAGACCTTAGCATAACCTCATTACTAGATTTTTCTCTTTTTTCCTCCAGTCAACCTGAATTACACTTTCAGAAGAATAGACAGTGGCTAGGAGTAGAGGGCAGGGTTTTTTTCTATCAGAGCTTGCTTTGTAGAAGAAATTTGGAATAAACAGCCATGTGGAGCTGATTTTATGGGCATGCATAATGCAACTGTTACAGTCATGGAGGCTTCCACATGGTTCCAGAAGGCCTGGAAGACCAGACAGTGTGCTCCTGAAAGGGCAGCACATGCAGCTCTGAGAGAGAAGCTGGAAGTTCAGTGAGCAGAGCCACCTGAAGAGAGAGGCCACGAGACCTGCAGCTGGCAATGCTGTAGGGGCAGAGCAACACAGTCATCTTGGAGTTCAGATCTTCGCACCATCTGTCTCAGATGTTGGACCTCAAACTATGAGATTTAATATTTGCCTTACTGGGTTTCAGCCTTGTTTTTTTCTCATTGGTTTCTAACTCCCTATTCATTTATTCATTCCTTTTGGAATAGGAATGTCTACCCTATATCATTGTATATTAGCAATGTTTAACATTTTTTTTTATTTTTATGGAGGCTCGAGTCAAAACTTTTCCTTGTGTCTCAGAGGATGCTTTGGACTTGGACTTCAGCAATGCTGCAACTATTAGAATTTAGTGACTCTTGGAGATGGACTAAATATTTTTGCATAAAGAGATGTGCATGGGTATTGGGTCCTGGGGTGGATGTTATAGTTTAGATCAAGAATGTCCCTCAAAGCCTCATGTGATCATAGGTGGGGCTCATAGGAGTCATGGGGAGATACAGTTGACTTGCTGTTAGGATGCTGGGGCTGGTCGGGAGAAGTGAGTCACTGAGATTGTGACCTGGAAGACTGTCTCCTTTTTGGTTTCTCCCTTCTCTTTCTTGTTTGTGGCCAGCCAGCATGATGTGATAGGTCCTTCCACTATGCCATTTCTGTGTTTAAGTTTCCTGACTATGGATTAAAAGTGAGCCAAAATAAACCTTGACTCCTTTAAATTGTGAGTGTTCAGGATTTTTCCCCCCAGTGCCAAGAATGTGATTAAGAGAAGTTCCTAAAATCTTCTTCTCAGGACACACTTTGGCCTCTAAAATAAGAAAGTGCTTTGTTCTTCAGGCAATGGAAAGTTAGGGAAATTCTGTAAGTAGGAGAGCAACCTGACAAGGTAGATGTTTTAGGAAAATATTGAGCAGCACTGTAAACAGAGAGTTGAAATAATGGTATCAGGAAAACTTAACAGCAGAGAACTGAAATAATTTATAAGCTTGAACTTATTGGGGCCTAAAATAGGAAATAAAGAGATTTTATAAATTGGTACATAATTGTACATACTTATAGGGCATTGTGTGATGATTTAATATATGTTATACAAAGTTTAATAGGCAAATCAGAGTAATTACTATTTCCTTCTCTTTAAACACATACTATTTCTCTGTACTGGAGCACCCAAATTCTTTTTTTTTTTTTTTTAGTTCTTCATGAAATAGGAATATTGAAACCTAGGCAAGGACCATGCAAGAAGAAAGGAAGGAAGGAAGGAAGGAAGGAAGGAAGGAAGGAAGAAAGGAAGGAAGGAAGGAAGAAAGGAAGGAAGGAAGGAAGGAAGGAAGGAAGGAAGGAAGGAAGGAAGGAAGGGAGGGAGGGAGGGAGGGAGGAATCAGGAGCTTAGTAAAAGTCCCCACAAAATTAGACCAAAGAGTATTCTGTGGGAAAAGTGTGAGCAGAAACCTACACTGTCTGTTTCACTCCTCACACATTTCCTTAAGTGCACTCATAGCTCTCCTGGAAATGCACAGAAAATTAGTAAGAGTAAAAGAAAATTTCCACATGTGCCAGAGGGCTGCTTACAGTTGACAGGCCACTTGCCAGACTGTAGGTGTTTGCAGAAAACTGAGAGGACACTAAATCATCAACACCTTCAGTATCTTCCAAGGAGTTCTATGAAAGAAGAAAAAAATCAGTGGTGTACTTGTATAACTTTCCCAGAAAGTCTTTCCTTTTTAAAACTCACTTTCATAAAGGCCTGGAAGCCAGATAAAAATATCTAAAAAGCATCTCATTCCTGGGATTTTCTCTTTTGTCCTCTAGTCAATCTGAAATACGCCTTCAGAAGAATAGATAGTGCCTGGAGGTGGAGGGCAAGGTTTCTTTGCTAACAGTGCTTGCTTTGTCAAAAAACATGAAATTTTGGATCATACAGACCTGAATACAATTCCTACCTCCCCAACTTGTGTAGAAATACACTTTACACAATGCACTTAATTATTTTGATAATTTCAAAATTTGGGAGTCTGTATTTGTTCCAAGAAAACAACTTAACCAAAAAGAAGGAAGAATCAAAATAGACACTTCTCAAAACAAGACATACAACTATTCAAGTGGTATATGAAAAAAATATTCAATAACACTAATCTTCAGGAAAATGCAAATTAAAGCCAAAATGAGCTATCATATCAATATTTGTTGGAATGTCTACTACCAAAAGACATAAGAACAGCTTAGCACTGAGGAACACAAATTTCCAGTTGGGAAAAATGAAAAAGCTTCTGGAGATGGATGCTAGTGGTGGCTGTACAGCCATGTAAATGTAATGCGCAGCACAGAACTACACTTAAAAGAAGTAAAATGGAAATTTTTGTCTTATGTATATTGTAATACAATAAAGTGATTGTTCAGTGTTTAGGATAATTTCCTTGAAAGTTTCTTGACGTTGCTACAAACTCAAGAACCTAAATTTTTCTGCAGGAAAAATATCATTAAATATTCTTTCAATTTTATTAATTGTATCAGAAAATTTTAGTTTTTTAAAAATTTGTGTTAGCTGGGCATGGTATCATGTACCTATAATCCCAGGACTCTAGGAGATTGAGGCATAAGGATGCCTAGTTTGAATCCAGCCAAGGCAACATAGAGACAGAGTAAAATTGCCTCAAAATTAAATATGAAAAATGGTCAGCAATGTAGCTTAGTATAAAGATCCTAAATTGAATCTCCAGTATCCACCTTTGGCCCCCTCAATACGTTTCTTGAGTCAGTTGTCACAAATTAAATTTTTCTAGAAGTTCATTGATTTCATGTAAGTTTTCCAATCATTGATGTTACTTTTTCGATTAATTTATCTGTAGTTACCTTATCTTTTCATTCATAATGTTATTTGGTCTTGCCCCATCTTTTTCCTTAGAAATTTTCTTAGAGATATTTTTATTTTGTTGTTTTTTTAAACTAGGTTTTATTTTATTGTTAGGTATTTTACCTGGTTTGTAGTTAACTGATTTCTGTTCTTAATTAGGTCTTTCTTCAATTTATCATGTTAGTCTTCTAAATAAAAGGGTAAATTCACAATGAATAATTTTCAGCCCTTTTTATATAAATATTTAAGATTATACAATTTTCACCACATAATCTTTCACTAAATCTTAAATTTGTTGCTGATTTTTAAATTTTAGTTTAGTTCTGGTTATTTTATTTTATTTCATTTTACTACCTTGAAATGTCTATTTTTAAATTAAATTTATTGGTACAATTTAGATATACATAATGATCACATTCATCACAAGGAAATTGTATCTATGTCAGGATATCTTGTGGTGAAGCACTATTTTGCTTAAATGGCTATGTTTTGACCTGTACTGTTTTGTTGTTATGCCCTCTTTTATCTCAGTCTCCTTTTTAAAAATTATTTATTTTTTTATTTTTATCTTTTAAATTAAGGGAAACATAAAAAAATAGCAGGATACATTATAGTAACCCACTTTGATTTCCTATTAACTTGATTTGAAACCCTGTATAGCCCTCACTATCTTGCTTTGACTGATTTTCCTCTATTCTGCTTTGCTTGATAGTACCAAGTTCAAAAGTATAGGCAACAACTGTGAAGACAATAAGATTCATTATGACGCCCATCCCGGTTGACTATTATCTTCTTTTAAAGTCCTGTAATGTCTCCAATGTTTTGGTTTTATTCTTTATTGTTTTGTTCAATTTTATCATAGCAGATGATATAGGCAATTCTTTTTAAGATAGCAAGAGGCAGTATGGTAACCATTATTGATCTACTATTTTGTTTTTGCATTATCTATTATGTCCATCCTTTTGATGTGACTGATTCCATTCTGTTATGGCACATTTGGTTTTACTCTCTCCAAAAAAAGTAATAAGAACTGCGGGAGTAATAAAACCCAAAATGTATAATTGTCATTGTACAAAAGAAAGGAAAAGAAAGTGTTCTAAAGAATATAACTACATATATATTTAAGGGTATAAGATAGATAACCATATTACTGAGTTTTGTTGGATCATTGAACAAGACTATTTCCAGTCTCACTGTTTGAAAGTCCACTTTATATGCTTTAATTTTGTAACTTGAACAACCATTTCTAAGATAACAATATGTAATCTATTAACTAGTGATTTCCTACTGTTTATTTTTTCTGAAATTCTGTATAACTTGTACCCTATTTCTGTTTTTTTTTTCTTTTTCTCCTTAAATAAAAAAAAAAGAAAAAAGATATATCCTGGTTACTCTTCATTTTTTTAAAAATTCTGTCCCCTCCCTTTAACTCCTCTTTCCCTCCTCTCTTCATTTATGAAGCTTTGTTTCCACTTTATTATTTCTCATACCAAAAATATAATGTGATATTTACAAGTGTGTTCAGTTTATTTCACATTACACTATGTTCTCAGGTACATTTACTATTTAATCTTCTTTATGGCTGAGTAGTACTCTATTGTTTAAAAAAACATCTTTTCTAACCATTTTTCAGTTGACATGCACTGGGGTTGTTTCCAAGATTTAGCTATTACCAATTGTGCTGCTATAAACATGGGTACACAGTATATCACCTAATTCTTCCAGGAAGACAACCAACTGAGAAAGAGCTGGGTCAAATGGATTCTTTAATCTTAGCTTTTTGAGGAATCTACAAACTGATTTACACAGTGGTTGTACCAGCCTACACTCCCACCAATAGTGGAGAATGGTTCCTTTCCCCACAGCCTCTGCAGCATTTGCTATTGGTTGATTTCTTGATAATTGCTATTCTTTCTAGAGTGAGATGTAATCTCAGCATTGTTTTAATTTGCATCCCTCAAATGACCAGCTATGTTGAATATTTTTTCATACATTTATTTTCAATTTGTATTTCTTCATCTGAGAAGTCTGTATTCATGTCAGATGTTCATTTTTATATCGGTCATTAAATTTGGGGGTGTCTATTTTTTTCAAGTTTTTTTTTTGTGGTATTGAGGATTGAACTCAGGGCCTTGTTCATGCTATGTAAGGATTCTACCACTGAGCTACATCCCTGTTAATTCTTTTTATGTTCTAGATATTAGTCCTTTGTCTGAAGGAAAACTGACTAAATTTTTTTTCTCATCCTGTAGATTATCTTTTCACTTTATTGGTAATTTCTTTTGCTTTTCAAATACTTTTTAATAGAATGAGATTTCAGTTGTTGATTAATTGCAATATTTCCCATGCAATGTGTTTTGTTCATGAAATCTTTGCCTACACCTAATGTCTTCAAGTGTTCTAACCATTTTCTCTTCTAGCAGATTTAACACTTCTGTTTTAATATTTACATCTTTGATCTATTTCAATTTTAGTTTAGTGTATGGTGATAGACTTGGGACTAATTTTACTGTTTGACATGTAGAAAGCCAGTTTTGCCAGCAACATTTATTAAAGAGGCTGTCTTTCTTCCAGTGAAAGTGCTTGGCCCACTTGTTAAAAATAAGATAGCTGAGTAGTGTGCTTGGGTTGTTTCTGCATCTAATCTGTTCCATTAACCTTCAGATCTGTTTGTTGTTTTTTTTTTTTTTTGCTAATACCATGCTTCTTTTATCACAGTGGCTTTGTAGCACAATTCCAAGTCAGGGATTTTGATGACTCTGCCTTGCCTTTGTTGCTGAAAATTGTTTTTTATATTCTAGGTCTCTTCTGGTTCCAAATGAATTTTTGGAATGTTTTCTTAAATTTTGTGAGGTATGCTAATGACATTTTGATTGGGATTGTATTTTGTATAGGATTTTGGGAGTATAGCCACTTATACTTTGTTGGTTTTTCCTACCCATCAGGAAGGGATATCTTTCTATTTTCCTGATATTGTTTTCTGTTTCCTTTTTCTCAGTACTGTAATTTTCAAGATAGAGATCTTTTACATCCTCTGGTAGACTGATTCCTAAGTATTTCATTTTTTGATGCTATTGTAAAGGGTATTGTTTCCCTAAGTTCCCTCTCAGTGTGTTTGTTGCTTTTGTACGGGAATGATATTAACTTTTCAGTGCTGACTTTGTATTCAGCTATCGTACTGAACTTCATTATTAATTCTGCAAGTCTTTTGGTGGAGTTTTCTGGGTCTTCTATGTAGAGTATCACGTCATCTGCAAATAAGGATAAGTTAACCTCTTCATTTTTTATCCTTATCCCTTTTATTTATTTCTCTTGTCTAACTGCTTTGGCTAAAGCTTCCCAGAAGTATATGAAATAGGAGTGGTGATAGGGAACATCTTTGTCTTGTTCTTGATTTTTAGAGTGAAAGTTTTCAGCTTTTGACCACTCAGTATAATGTTGGCTGTCAGTTTGTTACATATGGCTTTCATCAGATTAACATAAAGATCAGCTACTCCTATTTTCTGTAGGGCTTTTATCATGAATGGGTGTTGGATTTTATCAAGTGCTGTTTCTCTATTTACTGAGATGATCATGTGATTTTTGTCATTGAGTCTGTTGATATTATCTATTACATTTATTGATTTGCATGTATTAAACCATCCCTGCATCCCTGGGATGAATCACAGTCTTTGTAAATAATTTTCTTCATGATTTGCTGTATTCTGTTTGCCAGTATCTTATTGAGGATCTTTATGTCTAGTTTTTTTTTTTTTGAATCCTTGTCTGGTTTTGGTATCATGTAATACTTGCTTCTAGAAATGACTTA